AATACCACCAAGATTTGAGCTCTCCAAATATGATAAACAGTCATAGCCAGTCAAAGTTTGCTAAGCTGATGACGAAAAGATCAATTGGACCTGGCATTGCATCTCAACCAGGCTGTTTTCATTGGTCCAACCAACAGATCAGGCATAAGCATGATAAACTCCAATATTTGCCTGGATAAAACTTCAAATCTTCTGCTTTATTTTCTCCTTCTGTGTTCCAAAGCTTTCTCTTTCTTTCTTTTGTTTTTTGAAGTACTACTCGTCCTTTTTTCTTTTCCTTTTTCCTATTTTGTCTTACTGAAAATAGGCAAGTTTCGATTGGTAACTTTTACTAATGAAAAAGTAGTATCTTTTACCCAAAAATGGTAAGTTTCATTAAAAAGGTGAAAAGTTTGTAAACAAATTGTTATAAACAGAATGATATGTTTAGTAACGAAATCGTCTGTTTTAGTTAAAAAAAAAAAAAAAGAATCTTTTTGCTGTAAAAGTTTGTCATTTTGCTAAAAAGGAAAGTTTTATTAGAATACTAGTCAGCTCAGCAGGTGTAGTAATACCAATTAGATTATGTGATATTAATTCTGCTGTAAGTCTTGCTAATGTAATCTACTCAAAAAGTAGTAAACTTTGCTAGCAATAGTAAGAAGCAACTTTATTTTATCAATTACTCACTTTTTCTATTAACTGGTATCCCTTTTTTTTTTTTTTGTTAAAAGGAAGGTAGTGCCGTTTTCCTATAGAGTGGTAGTCACTGTTGAAAAATAGATAGATTTTGTCAACAAACTGTTGAGAGAAAGAAAAACGCATAATTAGTGAACACTAATGTCAAGGGATGTGGTCATCACCATCGTTGAAGTGATTTTGCTCATCCTGAGAATGTGTCCGACAATGGTACAAAAGAGACCTCACATGCTATCTCTGTTGAAGAAGTATTCAACGGCAACCGTAATTGCGTGCACTCGCAGCCAAGGCTTGGAGATTGTTAGGACGAGTCAATAATAGAAGAAGAGTTTTGTCGTGTGGTATGAAAACGGTGATTAATTATGCCATGATCAGTTAGCCTTTTGTTTTGTCGGAATAATAATATTCTTATAATATAATCAATTATATTTTATAGGGGGCTAGAGAGGAGGTTAAAGAGCCTACCAACCGGAGTTGGGCCAAGTGATAAGCAGCTTGGTTCCGCTTAAGCAAGTCTCGGGTTCGAAACCTGGCGTATGCAGCTACCCTTGTTGGGAGACTCACCCACCACAGCCAGGTGTGCGACCCGGGTCGACCAACGGATTAGTCAGGGCAGAGCCCTGGATACCGTGGCAGGCAACCAAAAAAAAAAAAAAAAGAGCCTTATAACCTAATCTATCCTATTTTACAGGGAGGTATCTATCACTTCTGCAGGTGGGATTCGAACCCCTCAACCTATAGACAAAAGAGGGATTTAATCGCTTTTTGGTGGCCGCTAAGTCAAAACTCGATGGTTATAATTAGTTAGCCAATTTGAGGGTAATTCTAACATAAGTCCATTGACTAGTAATTAACACATCTAAATTCGCCTAACATGACATGTATATACACTGTACATACTAATAATTATTACCTTTCTTTGAATTTATATACTATTCCTATTTAATTTTGTCTATCATTCATTGTATTTATTTACTTTTCTTAATTAATTTTACATTTCAAAAAATATAACATCTAAAATATATCTAACGAGTACCCAATGGGCACCTGTTAGATAGACCCTTAGGAAAATAATTGAAGGAAAATTTGAAAAAGCGCATTGACTAAACAAAGGGACAAAATCGATGTGTGATTAACTAGATGAATTCATAATGCAGGGGAAGTTTATATAAGGAAACTCTGAGTTTGTTTGGATAAGAATTTATTTAGATGATTTATTTGAGATAATTACTGTAGCACTTTTTGTGATGTGATTAGAGGTGTCAAAATGGGTAACTTGGGCGGGTTTGGGTTGGGTAAAATGGGTAATGGGTATAAGTGAATCAACCCATTTATACCCATTTAATTAGATGGGTATAAATGTGTAAGTTCAAAAATGAATTTGGTAACCCAATTACCCATTTATAACCCATTTATTTTAACTTTTTGTAAACTCATTTAAATTCATTTTTTGCAAACTAAGTTATCAATTTATACCGTTCTTTGTACCCATCATTAGTTTTAAATATTTACTTATAATGCTCAATAAGTCTAATTACCAATTGTTTTTCATTTATACTCTATGTCACAAAATTACATATTATTTAATAATTGAATAATAAGAATATAAAAATGTGAACTAAGTACTATAAAAGTTAATATAAAAACTTAATCCAAAAAATTTTGAACCCCTAACATATTTTTCATATGTAAATTTAAAATTTCATTTTAGAAAGATAAGAAAAGAGGCTAAAACTTATCATAAATTGGTAATGCTGAAAAATGAGCAAGTTAACAAACTAAGAGAAAATAAAATAATAAGATAAAATCAACAAATAATAATAATAATAATGAAACAAAAGTAGTTAACATCATGATAAAAAGAAAAATCTGAAAAAAAATGGGTTGGAGAAGAGAAGAGACTTGGGGGAAGAGAACTCTAAATGGGTTAATTGGATTTGATGGGTTACCCAATAATACCCATTTAATGGGTATTATTGGGTAACCCATTTATACCCATATACAAAAATTTAAGATATCCATACCCATCTATTTATGGGCGGGTATGGATAAATTTAGTTAAATGGGTTGGTTTGCCAGTAATAGATGTGATGTATGTGAGATAAAAAAATGATTGATAAGATAAAAAGGTGGTTGGAATTTGTAAAGTAAATTATTTTACTTCAAATATTTTTAATCCCAACACACCCTCTATTTGAACTAGAAAGGAACTTTGACGCTTTATTACTTAGATGACGTTGTAACTTATTTCAGAAAAGCAGTACAATTTCTTATTGACGTTTTGTCCAAAGAAGTAAGTTTTTGTTTTTAGTGGTTAAACTAGTAAGTCAACACTGAGATAAAGTGGTCAGTTTTCTCAACAAGATTTTTCTAACGAGTAATAGTTGCAGTTGCTAACAAAGTCATTTTCACCTAATTTAGCATTTAGACACTTTTTTAGAACTAACTTCACTTTTGTAATCCAAAAAAAAAAAAAAACACCTGAGTTACTCTTAGTGAGTGCCAAGTTAGTACCACTAGCCAAATCCTTGGAAACATTAATAAGGTTTTCAAACAAAGTGCATAAGAAAACATAAATTTTTGGATATTAAAAAAGTAAGCGAAAATAATTTCTATATAATTACAACAACTAATTCCACTTTGAACCCTCTGATAGAAAAAAGTTAACCATTCTTATTTTCCACCCTCAATTTCAGTTTTGAATATGTTACATATCAAAGTTTCAAAATCATTACAATTTGATCTTTTCGTAAACCACATTGACAAAATTGATGAATTTTATGTGCGTGCAGACCAAGAATGCTAAGCAATAGGTCTCAAATTCACTTTTCATGCTCAACTTTTTTTCTTTTTTTACTTTACACCATATATATTAATTCTTTAAGCATTATGCCCTCAATTTGGTTTTGATGCATTGTCATAGATTTTCTAAATGTGCAATAGAAATAAAAGAATTTTTACCAATACCTTGCTCCATTCAATTTCATAAAATTATTTTTTCTAGAATTTATATTTCTCTAATTACCTAAATATTAGTTAAATAACACATCACTACGTAGATATCCAAGTGTAGAATAGGGCGTGGTTTTATAAGTTTAGGTGCGATTAGAAGTAAAGGGCAATAAACTTTGGTTTTGAGTAAATGTATTAAACTTATTGTTAATAATCCTAATAAAATACTATATGATAGCAGTTTGGTTTCAACTAGCTTAATCCATCACGAGTAGCATGGTTTCTTTGTTGGTTATTAAAAGCACACTAATAATGATCTTCATATATATATATATATATATATATATATATATATATATATATGCTAATATTACACAAGTTGTTTGTCAATTAAGCGTTCATTTGTGTCTAATTGTATGGTCAATTCATACAGCTGTAATAGATGAAAAGTTATGCAGAAAATATATGCACATAGAGTAAAAGATTCAAAATACTAATTTTATAAATTTGAGGGGACATGGTGTGCAAAATATTAGATAAAAATCTATATATACCTATTGCACAACTAAAAGTCTATAACATTACATTAAAAAATGAATTTTAGATGAAATATATCCAAATACTGGAGTTAAGGGTACAAAGTAGAAACAGGGAAGTAAGTTAGCGTGCAAAATGACATAGGTATGCCATGTACAATGCAAAAAAAATTAAACCAAAAAGCTAAAAACTTAGAGTGCAACATGTTTAAAAAATGAAATTAGGGTATGAAGCGAGAATTGGTCAGGAAATGTAAAGTGGAATTAGTCCCAATAAGTAAATAATAACTTTGATATGATACACATGAAGTAAAGAGTAAGTTTTCACCAACAGGGGTTGGTCCGAGTGGTAAGCGGCTCGGATTTGCTTAAGCAGGTCTCGTGTTCGAGTTCTAGTATACGCAGATACCCCTGTTGGGAAACTCACCCACTATAGTCAGATGCGCGATGCGGGTCGGGTCCGGATTAGTTGGGGCAAAGTTTCGGATACCGGGCGGGCAACCAAAAAAAAAAAAAAGAGTAAGTTTTCTTCTTGTTACAAACGTAAGTACTTCTAAATTTCATTAGCCTTATCCACTATTAGTACAAATATTAGTATTTTTTTTTAATCAACCGTACAAAAACAATGAATTTGGTGGACAGAGCTGATACGTACCGGCTGCGTATGGCACCAAATTGTCTATTTATGTGACGCAGAGCACTGTCCAAAAAAATATTATACCCAATTTGTTTGTTCTGATTGTTTAGACTATAAAGAATTAGGGTGGACTGGTGTTGGCTCCACAACAATAATTTATAGCCAGCCTATCAGGTCTAGTGAACTATCCTAGCTTTTCTTATTATTTGACAATTCGCAGGTCATATTCTTAACCACTTGTCCCTTTTGCTTATCTTTCTTGCAGATTAAAAAACTTCAGGTCTCGGAGATGCCATGAGTATTTGAAGCGTCTAAAGGAGAGGTAAGGACACTAGAAGACCAAGCCACGAAGAAAAACCATGGAATCTGCAGAGCTTGCGAACAAGTCAGAATTTCTAGCTGAAGGTGAGGGATCTTCAGATGAGATGGGCAGCACCAGTGATCAGCGGCCACTACCACAAATTGAAGCCAAAGTTTGTGATAACAAAGTTCTTCTGAGACTTCACTGTGAAAATCAACGAGGAGTGCTGATCAAAATACTCTCTGAAGTAGAAAAGCTCAATCTTGCTGTTTCTAACACTAATGTCTCACAATTTGGAAAAAATCGGGCTCTTGATATAACTATTATTGCGGAGGTAAGCTAAACTATACACAGTTCAATTTCTTCAAGTTTTTTTTTTTCCAAGTGAATATTAAGGGATAAATGTTTTTTTTTTGGTGTGCAGATGGAGAAAGAATTCAACCTGACAATCAAAGAACTGGTTAGAAATCTTCAATCAGCTCTTCAGCTTGTGAACTAAGAAGCCTGGGGTTTCGTCTGGTCCTCAGGTTCAACTAGATGGATCAAAGGGCCTTACGAGTCAGCTTTCGTGGCCACTAGATCCATAAGTACGTGTTTCACGAGTGCAAATGTAAAAGAACTGTTATGTTTTCCAATATTTCATATGTATATGACTAGTTTACTTCAAGGTGTTTTCCTATGGCTTCATTCAGTTCATTGTGGTTTAGTTCTGTTCTGTTCACGAAAGTTTCTATCTGATGTAGACATGAATATTTCTTCCTTCGTAAAACATTCATTGGCATTTGTGAAAAGTATCAGGTGGCCCAAATTACTTCCACGGCCCCTTAATACAGATACGGAGATGCTTTTTGCAGTACCAATTTTAGTGTTTCACTCGTGTATAATCTGGGTTTTTTTCTATTGGTTAGAAAAAAGCATGAAATCGACAATTGAGGTCTACTCATTTTCTTCGGTGTGTTTCTCCAAATCCCAAAAATTTCCAGGTGTTTCCGGGTGCCTGATACTGCAAATGCAATGTTAATTTTGTTTACATCTCTAACTCCGATTATTTGAGCGGCTGTCTTGAAGCTCGAGACTTGGAAAGATTTCAGTTATACACCCTCTTTATAACCATATTATTGCAAACGAGATCATTAAATGCACCTTGTCAAAGTATCAATAAGCAAAAGATCCACTGCTGTTTGCTTTAAGATATACTCCATTATTCATGCACCAAAAGGGAATTCAGAAGTGAAGGAGCATATCCCTCAAACTAGTATATAAAATGAAGCATTATGCCTTGTAGTAAACAACTAATGTGATCTGAGTTTCTATCAAGGTACAAAAATAGAGCAAGAGATGCCTAATTCACCGCAAATGCTCAAACCTTCCTGGGATTTTTCACATCTTCCAAGCATACATCTTCGATAGCTAAAACATACACTCAGCCAGGAGAGAACAATAAATTCTTGAGAACTTTCAAATTTCTATGATGTCACAAGTGCTAAACAGTAGCCGGAAAAATCATCCCTTCATCCAGCAGAAAGAAAAGAAGTTTGGGGAACAATTTGGAACCATCAATAGCAGTGGACAGTCACACTATGTAACTTGTCCATACAGCAGACAAGCTCTGGCTCCCAATCATAAGCAGTAAAAAGAAAGGAAAAAAGAACTAGATGGGATAGAGATTCATTGGCTGATGATGGAAGTTTGTGTATATTGGATCAGCCTCAAAGTCCGCAGCCTATCTTTAGTTGTAAATCTCTTCCTGCAAGCAAGCCGCATGACGGACGGATGTCTCAACACATAATGTTTTCTCCAAACAATTCTAAAATGAAAGAAACCAGACAATGTCCAGAGCGTCCCACTCTGATTTCCTCGCTGGTTAACGAGCCCACACGCACTCTCTCTGTCCTCCTTCTCTCTCTAAAACTCATTTCTTCTCATTTTCTCTAAAACTCCTCTAACCAAAATCTCATCTAGCTGTCCCATACAAAAGAAACCAGACAAACTGGTCTTTCATCACGGAAGGAGACCTCTCTCTAGTTTGTTTGTTTTTTAATAGATTCTCTCCTTAGATTTCTCGATGAGAAAATCGTCTCTCCTAAGATTTCATAATAAAAGATTCTTTCCCTCCTACACTTTAATATTGTGATTTTTATTCTCTCTTAAAATATCCTCGTGTGAGTTTTTTGGTTCTTTAGATTTGAAAAGCTGGGAGTTGGAATTATGTCATATCTAAATTTCCTTTCAAATTTGAAGCAATGTTTGTCAGATTTTTTTTTTTTTTTTTGACTATTAGAAGACATACGCGTAATTCTATTGGTTTGCAGTGATGTTTATCTGATGAAGCATACTACTGAATTTTCAATATTATTACCATGTTTGTTATTTTTAGATTTGTTGCATCGATTGATTATATATATATATATATATATATATATATATATATATATTTGCGTCATATTTGATGCATTTTCTGCTATTTATGTAGATATTGAAATAAAATTATCTTTAAAAAAAAAACCAAGCACATACACCACTAGGTAATATGGTATCCAACCAGTGAAAGGTGTAAGGAGTTCGAGAAGAATATGCTTGCAATTATGGCCCCTTAGGCCACCAGTCGCACTAAAATGTGACATGTTTGTCGTGCTGCAGAACCATTTGAAGCCGCCCTTTAGTTTGATCTTTGATGGCTGTGTCTGGACAAATTACCTATCAAGTTTTGGTGTTACAATCCAGTGTCCTAAATTCTGCACGAATCCCATGTATTCAATTATTTTCAATATTTACGTATTTTGTCAGGTATATTCTGCATAAATTCTTAGTTAAACCTATTACACATGTTTCAAATTCTATATTGATACATACACACACATACATGCATTCATACATACATACGCCTATTCTTTCATTGAAATTAATGTGATTTAGTTTGTACGCATTTTTGGGTTAGTTCCTGGCAATTGGGCGGGTTGTGCGGGTTTTGGGTGGGTTAATATTGGGTTTTCACTTAAATGGGTCATACCCAACCCGTCCAACTTTAAATTAGGTTGATTTTGGGTTGGGTCATGTTGGGTTATTTCAAACTTATGACCCAAATATGACCAACAAATTAATTAATATATTTTAATACATAAACTTTTTCACATACATTTTAACACACAAAAAAGATTTTTTTCACACATTTTCATATACATAAATGTATTTTCACACATACAAACACACACTCACTTCTTAAGTTCCTTGGAAACACATCATAAATAAAATAATATTTTATATTGCTTGTATTGTGAATTTTAGATAATAAATTATACATTTAAATAGATTAGCTAAAAAAATTGTTTACTTTATACTTTTTTAATACTACTAATTGATTAAAACTTATTTTTGTCACAACTTATTCACACTTTTACTATTCATATCAGTTTTATCGTAAATTGTAATATTCTATGTATTTAAATTATCGAATGCTAGATTATATTATACTTGAAAATTTAAGTAAGAGACATAATTTGTTGTATAATAATTTTGAAATTATAGAAAATAAGTTTGTACTTTAGTCCTTATATTCTCAAAAATTTTATGATTCATGATTCTAGAAATTTTGCAAACTGTTGTGAAAGGTCCATGCATCAGAACTACATTCTGGGGATAATATGCAAATTGCTTTCTTCCATTAAATGATTGGAGACATTACTACATTTTGGTTCTTGGACTCGCTAATTAAGAGGGAAAATTAATTGTCTTACTGATTGTAAGCTTCTCATGAAGTTGAAGATTGGATGTATATGCTTCAGACGAAATGAAATCGTTGGACTAGCCATGCCCAAGTTGCCATAATTAATCAAAACAAAATAGAATCTGCAAGTCAACTATATTGATTCGAAGTTAATATCATGATCTATATACATATAATATATATTAGAAGGTTTTTTTTTTTTTATTGATTTGATACAGTTAGATAATTCATCACCTAATTAATTAGAATCATCTAGGATCATACTTGATGCTATGGTCATATTAATCTTTTAGAATTACCACAGCTCTAATATAAAGCAGAAAATATTATATGCTTGTAAAAAGTACTGCTATTGGTCCCCAAAAAATTATTAAGGAAAATCCCAAACTTTTTAAGAAATAAATGAGAGGAGAATTCATGAACTATTCTGACATTTTTACCACAAAAAAAAAAAGGTGAGGAAAACAACATACTCTTAAAAGGCATAATAAATTATTATAGAAGTTGAGCAAGTTTAACTACAGCTATAAAAGTAAAATAAGCATGAGTTTTTATTTCAAATTTCTTTTTTCTTTTAAATAAAAATTAAAAAATTGATTGAATATATATATATATGAGAATTTGAATACAAATTAATTAATGAATTATTAACACATGTCCAAATGTAAATAGCTGGGCATATATGTATTAAATCTTGTATTTATTATTTTGAATAATCCAACCCGCCCAATGAATAAGTTGGGTTGTTCTTACCCAACCCAATAAAACCCATAACCCAATTGACCCAACCCATCCTTTAAAATTAAGGGCAGATTGTTGGGTTTTGGGCTTTTTTGCCGGTTCCAATAAATCTCCTCAACAATACTCTTTCTAAATCAACTTTCCCACTAAAGGTTAAATTGTACTAATCCACTCCTTATAATATCACAATATTCCCAATTACAACTCAATTGGTTCCCCCTCCTTTGCAGAATAGGATAACACAGATATTACCAATTAACCAAAAAGAAAAAAAAGGAATCGGGTCGAACAGTCCAATTTGTGGCTAATTTGGTCATGTGAACCTCGCATAATTATGAGAAGTGACCAAACTATCTCCACAACAATTAGTAAGTGACATGATCAGCAACATCTATAAATGAAGTGGGAAAACTGGGAATACTGTAATATTATATGGGTAAATTAGCGCAATTCAACCTTTAGGGGGGCAAGGGGTTATTAGAATTAACCCTATTTTTTTCTATACCTATCGAATAATCTTATATTTGTCATTTCAGGAGAGACTAAGTGAAATCTGGTCGGCAAATCAATCCCTACTACATTTGTCTCAAAGAGCAGTCAAGGGCACTGGGTAAGAAGGACCGAGACGCTACTTGCAGAACCCTAATCCATGTTGGTGGGGGTCCTTTTAGCAGCAGCTTTAGTGTTACGCTCGTGTCTAACGTGGGGCTTGTATTGGATAGAAAAGATGGAATGAGCAATTGACGTCTTTTCATTATCTTTTGATGTACTTTACCACCACAAGATTCCTCGTTACTCGTGGTGCTGTGTCAGTCATTGGGGTATACTTGAGTCCTGTTTGGATTGTAATTTTCTAAAATTTTTAGGGTTTAGTTGTGATTTATTGAGTGGCTGTTTTGAAGTTCTTGGGACTTTGATTAACATCTCAGTTGTAGACCCTCCCTACAACAGATCATTGCAACAAAGATTCCACTCAAAATATACTGTCAAAGAAACATTAAATATACCTTTTTTTTTAACTAAGGGTTGATTACACTTTATAAAACTAGGAGTATTTTCACTTTGCCCCCCGGAATCCAAACAACAGATCACTTTGCCCATCAATGACTGTTACGCTGGAAAAAGTGACTGAGAAAAGCTAACTTGAACAATTTCAGAGTAGAGAAGATTTGCATGGAGCAATCATATCCTTCTTGTCATTTAGAAGAGGATATAAATATTAACCTAGAAAAAAAATAAAGAGGAAAAAGGAAAATTTTGCATCACATTTTTAGGTTCAATTAAGCATATTTCGCAGCTTCCATTGATTTCTACTTTGATTGAACATGTTGTTCTAAATGACTTTCTATAGCTTAATTTTAAGTTTGAGGTCAAAACGTGTAGACTCAATTTGAG